TCTTTTAGTTCCTAGTTATGTGAAACTGGCTCAGGAGAAAGAAGTCCATACTCTAAGCTCCATATTGAGGCAGAAAACAAAACAAAACAAACAATATAAACATTTCTATACTTAAGGCTGTAAAGAGCCTTACCAAGAAATGCCCGATTTTGAAGATGGGTTCGTTTTGAAATATACCAGCAACATAATTGCTACTATTCCAAATGTGATATTTTTCTTCCCTTCTGTGTGGGGTACCAGGCATGAAGGATGGACAGCTGCACTTCATCCCATAGGCCTGCAAAGGCAGAATGGTGAGCTTAGGAGGGCCTGAGGCCTCCCAGGGAGCTGGACAGGGGAGGCCAGAAGGCTGCAATGCCAGCCAGCGCTTGCCAGGTGGTGGAGGAGAGTCAGTCTCGGTCCCTACACATCGTCCATCCAGGCAGCTCCTGAACCTGATCCAGGCAACTGGGCCAAGTCCCTGAGGCTGTCTCTGGGACCAGAAGGTATAACCAGAGGGAAGCATTGATTTAAATTCCAGGGAATAAAAGAAAAGTTCAGCATATCTAAGAAGAGGCTGAAAATGACTTTTTGCAAATGCTTGAAGGACACTGCCTCATACCAAACCACACATAATAAAATTTTAAAAGAGCCTGAGTTTTGTTTCTATCTGTGCCCTGTGGAGCACATGTGACTTCAAAGGCAACTCTGTTGGGTGCAGGGAGGAAAGAACTCGCTTTTATTTCCAATTCTGGCACAAATCCATCAAACTATTTTTGGTGGCTAGGAAACGAAACTTATATTCCTTCTAAATTCATTTGCATTTAGCACATCCACCTTTGTGTTTCCACGGTGACAGCTTCTGCTTCTTCGACCAGTGCATTGCCCTTACGTTGAGACTTTATTTTGCAGGAAAATGGTAAGAATGATGCTAGATGGTTTCAAGGGAAGGCTCAAACAGCCCAGTTCATGAAGCGCCCTTCTCCCTGACTTCCCCTTTCTTCCCACCATGATAAGTGTCTTCGGAGTTTGAAACAGTTGTTTGTAAGACTGCTTAAAACGTGAAACATCCTTTTACTAGGAGTCTTATATTGTAAAAAGGAGCTCCTGGTTTCATTTCAATGTGGTGGGACCCCTTGGTGGTGGGTGAGTGCAGTTTCGACCTGGTGCTTCCATCTAGAGCACGTGCACAGTGGCTGTGTGTGTGTGTGTGTGTGTGTGTGTGTGTGTGTGTGTGAGCTTCTAGAGATTCTGGGATTCCATTCATCATAAAAATCAGAGATGTCAGTGTGTCTTTCAGTGATACCATCTGTCCTTTGCCACACAGGAGTGTTCCTTGTGGCTTGTGTTTGAGATAAGTTTCCTCCGTGGCCTGTCTTTGCCCCGTCTTGTTTCATGACCTCTCCACACTGCTGTTTGGTGGAGACTGATTCAGGCTATGCTGTTTTTATTTCTTTGGGCCTGCTTATTTCTGATCATTTTTGTTACTCTTTTCCAAACTGTGTATTCCCTGCTCTGTTTGAAACTTTGAATCCCGATGTGATTGGGTGGTGGATTCTGCTTCACTTGTTACAGAGTGATCCTAATGAGCCGGAAGTGGTTCGTTTTATTGCCTGAAGGGTCTTTTGACAGCTCGGGGAGAAACTGCCGCTCTGTATGAACTTATCACCCCTACTGGGGACAAAAGACCCGGGTCTGATTATTATGGGTCAGTAAATGAAGGACAAGATATCATGAGCTTCGATGTCTTTGCATTAATAACTCATAACTCATCGATCTTTTCCCTAATCTTCTTTAGTGATGTTGCCTTAAATTATAAAGGACAGCAATACAGTATTAGTAACCGTTACATCAATATGCAAAAAGCTTTACCCCCCCTTCATCTTTTATCAAAATAGGACCTTCCCTGAAGGGTTGGGTTATGGGTCCAATGGATTTATATTGGTCTAGTATGCAATATTATGGTCTAGATGCATTTATCCATGATCAAATATATAAAGTATTATATGAAACTCTACAAATACCAAGAGCTATTTCAGTCACTTGCAAGTATTGTCTACCTTCTGTATGCATAAAATTGCATAGATTGATGCTAGTGAACACATACATGTACATCACATCACAGGTGGGGATTTCCCTCAAAGAGCTTACTAGTATATTCTAGTAGAGGTGAAATTTAAAAAAATAACTTATGTAAAATATTTTCCAGATAGCATAAGAAAACTAAAACCTAAATATTAAATTGGTTGGAGATGTGCCACATATTTCCCACCAATTGTGGATTATATATATATGTGTGTGTGTATATCTCTATATCTGTATGTGTGTTAGAGATTTATATATATATAT